CAGCTCCAACGATCTCCTTCTTCCCCCCCCCCGGCTACGGTGGTCTCTTCCTCTTCTGCCACTGCAGATCTCCTCCTCCCCCTGCTCCTGTGGCGAGGCCTGAGCAGCTTTCAACTGCCAGCCCACCGCAGAGTTCCCTGAGCGTTCCCTGCACATGTGCAGGGAAGGCTCTTTTACTTTTGGGGGGATTTAAATATCCCCCGTATACTTTTTTCAACTTTTTAGATTTTTGTGCACACCTGGGGACTGCCCCAAATGGGCAGGAAAATCTCCCTGCCCCCCAGGTGCCCCCGATGTGCAGATTTAGATATCCGCACGCAGGGGGCACCTTCGCTATTAGATATATAGATGAATGGCAAAACAAATAGGAACAGAGAATTTTTTCTGCTTTATAAAGCTAAAATATGAGATCACTCAGTAAAATTGACAGGAAGTTCAAGACAGACAAAAGAAAATACTTTGCACAACACATACTTACCAAAGCATTTACTATCACAAGTTATATTAATGGCTCCTAGCTTTGCCTTTTTATGAGTTTTGTACACATTCATGAGGGGTGGGTCTAACAACAACTGCTGATAGCTAAAACGAACATTCAGGTGAGGGCTGTTGCCTTCATGCCCTGGTTGTAGGCTTCACAGGGCATCTGGCACCTTCTTCTTGGGGGGGGGGGGCGAAATGCTGGACTAGAAGGATATTGGGTGTGATACAACAAGATGTGGTTGGGGTGCAAAGAGATCAGTAGCTTTGGAAGGAAGGAGAGGGAGGCAGGGAGGGGAGGGAGGAAGGAAGGGTGTAACTAAGGGCTGATGGTGAAGAGAAACAAGTGTGCACTGTGGGATGCAGGGAGTAAAAGGAAGAAAATACGCAGTGGAGGTAAAGAATAATAGTGTTAACAGATTATAGGTTAAAGAAGTGGCAAAACTGTTTCTTACAGTTAAGCAGTGGTGAAGTCTGCTGAGCTAATAAATACAAAAGTGGCCTTCATATTGACCTAAGGTACACAACCAGACTCTGTAGTAATAGCTTCATGCAAATACAAACACATTGCCTCTTCCATTCATTTGTGCATCTGTCAGTTTTTCCCTGTAATTTTCATATCCTTTCATGCTTCTCTGCAATCCAGGATTATTGATTTTGCTTCCTAATCACTGCTTCACAATTAACCCCCTTTGAATACACCTAAAACATGAGGGATGCTGGTAAAATACCTTATGCTGGGGAGTTTGTATGAATGAAGCAACTGCATTGTTCTCTAATCGGATCGTTACCTGGCCAGAGGTTAACTGCAGAGTGACTCCTGCACTACAAGCTATACATCCCCTTTATTTTAATGTTTTTTAAAAAAATAGCATATTATAATAGTGATTGTAATGCAATGCAATATTTTGTTGATCTCTGACGTAACACTGCACCCCAGGAAAATAATTCTGTCAGTTAACTTCATGTTTTAGTGAAGCAAAATGTTAGTTTAAAAAAATCTCAGTTTACTACTCTTAACAATTAAGAATATAATCGACGATGTAATGTAATTTGGAATGATAGATTTAAATGTAATTCTCAATTCTGGGGACAAGAAAAATACTCTATACAGCCAAGATGCTTTAAAGTTTTCCTCCATGCTAGAAAGGAGATATATGGGATCTAATGACTGAATTCTCACAAATTAGGGTACATCAATCTCCAGTTCTGACATATTTATTACCTATGTTGTTCCCCCCCCCAGTTGAACCCAAACAGATGATAACCAGAAACCAAGCTTATAATTCTTTTCAGGGGTCTTTTTGTAGAAAAAGAGCCGCCGGAGCTCATTAGCATAACTCATTAGCATATGCCACACACCCTGACATCACTGGAAGTGTGTCATAAGGCCACACCCCCTGACATCACCGGACGTGTGTCAGAAGGCAACGCCCACCACTCAGGCTCCACCCCAATATCTCCAAGGTATTCCCAACTCAGAGCAGGCATAAGAACATAAGAGAAGCCATGTTGGATCACGCAAGTGGCCCATCCAGTGATCTGTAATTCCATTTCATTATCCAACAAAGTGTGCATGCACACGAAAGCTCACACCCTGAATAAAGCTTTGTTGGTCTTAAAGGTGCCACTGGACTCTAACTTTGTTCTTTTGCTTCAGACCAACATGGTTGCTCAGTTTAAAAACAAACCATCACCGAAACATCTTGCCTATCAATCCTCAGAGTATTCAGTACAATTTAGATGATTCAAGTGCTTGAGGTGTATTGTGATCCAGTGCAAGCTGTTGGTAAATATTGACATTGTGGATTTAGTCACGCATATAAACATGTTCTTTTGCAATATAGTTAGAAAGAAAATATTTTCTTTTTTCCCAGTCTTCACTTTCAAGTCCTGACTTTTTTGATTCACCAAGTCCTGAAGAAGAGAAAGAAGAACACATCTCCCTTCCACCCAAAGTAGCTGAACCACTGAAGAAAGCAAAGACTGTTACAATATCACTAGTAAGTTACCTGGGAAGTTATTACTGTGGTGAGAGCTGATACATATGATCCCTGTGTAGTAGTACTGTAATTGCTCGTAAATGTATGATAACCTGAGCAAACACAGATTTCAGTTCCTATGGTTTTTCTACCTCAAAATTTGGACAAATGATCACCTGGTTTTCCAGACATCAGTCCAAAATGGATGAAAGACAAATCAAGATGACAAACATCTAGCTCACATGCTATTTTCTGTTTGTAGTGACAGATGTATATGAGGCTAAGGCCCCTGAAGTACTCAGTTATGTATCTGGAGCATAGTGACTTGCCCAAAGAATTTTAGAACTAATTAGGGATTTGAATCTTTGTTTCCATTTTAAAACTAAGGCTTGCATCTTGATGAGACAATATCACAGGTGAAATTGAGTCTTAGTCACAGAGTGCAATTTTCCTGCCCCTCCCCCAGCACCCCAAATAGCCCCTGAATTCTAGGAGGAGAGGGAAACACCCCCCCCCAGGACAAAATTTGGGGGTTTGGGTATTTTGGTCTGCCACAGGAGCAGGGAAGCAAGAAAATCCTTGTGGAAACCCTTGTGCCTGTTAGTCTGGGTCCAACCCTAAGTATTCTATCCAGTATGCCTTTCCCATGGTGAGTACAACTCCATGTTGCAGACGAGGTCTGTTTCATTCAAAATGTCTGATTCCAGATGTCCTACTGCTATGCATACACCCAGACCAGTTTGCTTCAGACTTTTACATATATTATATAACTAGTAAGAAGGCTCGTTGCAGCAAGAAATGCAACAAGCTCTAGGCAGAAAGCCTGGGAGAGCATGGTGGGCTGCAGGACTCAGGCGAACCCCCCACCCCTGGTAGCTCTGGCTGAGCGCCATGGCCAGACCACTGACAGATACAGGGCCAGTTCTTTAATAGGGCGAGGATAGGCGTTAGCCGCCCCGGGCCCTCCCTGCCCTTCCCTCACCAGAAGAAGGGCTATCATCATCCTCCAGGGCAAGCAGCGGGTAGAGCAGCGCCCCTCTGCCGCTGCTGCCGGTGTCCTGGTTGCTGCCACTAGGGCTGGGCAGCAAGAGGCGGTTGGTGCAGCGGCGCCTCTGCAGCGGGGAGGCCTTGTGGTGGTGGCGCTGGTGGCAGGGCCTGTTGCGGAGCGGTGGCAGAACTGCCTCGACCACGACAGGGCAGGTGGTGGAGGAGCGCCCTCCTGGCGTAGCAGCAGGTGCCACCCCGCTGCTTCTTCCTCCTCGGCCGCTTGTGAGTTCACCAGCACTTCTGCGCCATCACCCCGCAGCATGGAGTGCTTGTTGAAGTGGACTGGGGGCTCAGCAGCTTGGCCTGGAGAGAAGAGTCAACAGCCTCCTCCTCCATCAGAGCTCTGCATGATGGAGACAGAGGAGCAAAAGAACGGCAGGGCTGGGCTGAGGCGCCACCGCTGCTGTCTCTGGCTCCCTCACAGACGATGATGCGGGCCCATCGGCTGGCCTCCCCCGGGGCTTCTGTACCACCTGGGCCGGCCTCCCCCAGGCCAGCCAGCAACCTCAGAGGGCAGGCAGCGATATGGCTTGGGGCCCCCAGGTCGGGCCAGATGGAGCTCGCCTGGTGCGCTTCCCAGTAAGTTGCCAACTCAGCCAGCCAGCCCTTGGCTTTGGAGTACCCCGCACACAGGCTGCTGCATCACATGTGCGGGGCTTCTCTCTGCCGGGCCAGACACGTGGAGGCCTGCTGTCAGACTGCAGCGGCAGAGGGGGCATTTTCGGGGGGACTCCCTTCATTCCCAGTAAAGGGGTTTCATAAAGGAGCCCATAGTGGTGTACGTTTCTCCGTGGCCAGTTTTTTTAGCTTTTCTGACTATTCGCTGCACTCCCCCCCTTTCTCATCCGCCCACCGGAGCGTCCGTCCAGTCGGCCGGCTCACAACACACTGAGCCCGAGACGCTGGCGGCCACTTCTGTGGGCGGGACTTACGCAACGGAGCCAGCCAATGCAGGCAGTGCCTTCTGAGTGACAGATGAGGCACCCAACTGATTTTGGAGTGCATCAAACATTGCCAGACAAAGATGGAATTATTATATAGGAAGGATAGGTTAGAAACAGCAACTAGGGATTGCTGTATTACATTCTCCTGTTTCTAGCACAGGTATGTATAATGATGCTTTTAGAGCATTTCTGTGTTGGAATGTTTATTGATCCCCTCCCCACTGGCCCAGTTTATACTGACATTTTTTTATGGTCAGCATTAGTAGTTTGGGGAACAATCTGTCTAACAGTATTCCCATGGCAGGCTAATGTCAGCAGAATGTTAGAATCATTTGGGAAAGACATATTTGAGTATTACATAAAATATCCAGGCAGAGCTCTTTCAGCATGGCTACTAGATGGAGAAAAACAGCTATGAAACTGGAGCTTTTCATTATTGATAACCTAATGCTTCTGTATTTTGTTTTTAATAGGTATCTGATAACAAAACTTCACTGCCCACCAAGCCAGGGAGCTTGATAAGTGGAAGCAATGTTCCATCTTCACTATCATCTTCATCTTCATCAGCATTTCACTCAGTTTCAGTAGGAACAGCAGGTCATCGATCAAATTCCCCATCTTTGTTCAGTACTGAAGGAAAGCCAAAGACTGATCAGACCAGCCAAGGTGAAGCTGCTTTGGAAGAGCTGAGAACACAAGTCAAGGAGCTACGAACTATCATTGAAACAATGAAAGATCAGCAGAAGTAAGTGTAATGAATCCCTTTTAGGCAGGGCTTTCTTTCTTTCTTTTCTTTTCTTTTTTGGAAAAAGAGGTGCCGGAACTCTCAAGAGGGAAAGGAAGTTTTTAATCTGTATACTGAAAACTCATGAACTTTTAAGCATTTTTAAAAGAATTTTGTTGGTTCTGGAACTCTGTTCCAGTGCGCTCCCCCAGAAAAAAAGCCCTGCTTTTAGGCATGGTACTGTGTGTGACTGTGTACTACCTCTTCCCATATGTTAACCCATAAAGTCCATGTCTTGTATGATTGTCACTTGCCTTTTTTGGCATGATGTTATGACAAAGTTGATATAGGACAATGGCAGAGCAAAATATAACTGCATTAAACTTGTTGGAGCTCCATTGCCATTGTAATTCCTTTTTTAAAAAATCCACATTATCCATATATTTAACATCTCATGGTTATCTAATCAAACACTTGAAAACCTTAAACATGAAGTGAGGGACAGCGGGTAAGTAAAATGGAAAATAAATGAAGTAAGATGAAATGATGGAGGCACCTTGAGCCAGAGGGCAAAGGCAGGATATAAATACTTCAATAAATAAATTACAACAAAGTTACACTCTTCTGTGGAGCTACGGTGGCACTGAACTGCAGGCTGTGGAAGGTCAGTAGTTCAGCAGTTCGAGACCCGAGTTGCCGCATGACGGAGTGAGCTCCCGTCTCTAGTTCCAGCTCCTGCCAACCTAGTAGTTCGAAAGCAAGAAATTGCAAGTAGATAAATAGGTACCACTTTGGTGGGAAGGTAACAGCGTTCTGTGCGCCTTGGTGTTTAGTCATGCCGGCCACATGACCACGAAAACGTCTTCGGACAGTAAGAATATGAAATAATTTCTCAAGGAGTTGCCAATTTAAACACATAAAATTTGGCATGGTTTTTCAGCTCAGCTGATATTATTCTTAAACGTTGTGCTTTATGCTATTTGTTTTTCAAGTATGTATTTTTATTACTTTTTCTATCTTTGAAAATAGTAGACATTTCCATTTTCCTCAAGAACTGACCTGAGCTTATCACTCAGGCCTGGCCTAGGCAAGATTGGAAAAAAAGGTTTGGAGGAACTCCACAGGATCTTTCTGTGCACTCTCATTTATTTAAGCAGTTTCAATTTCTGCTTGAAATCACATTCTAAAAATATATTATCTGCCCCTGAGCTTTCCTCCTTATTGTAGTCTGTTCCCACCTTCTCCAGATTCAGAATGAACTAACTTCAGATCCTACTTTGATTGGGACCCAACTTACTACAGTTAGTTAAGTGGCCTACATTCAGACAGTCACGTAATGATGTAAGAATTTTGGCTTAAATGTCATGTGTGAATTTTGGCTTGAATGTCATGTTGATACATGAAGATTTCTGACATAACTCACAGAAACTAAACAAATATAGGAGGAACTATTAAGTAATGCTAACTAAAATTGTCTGTGCATACAGCATAGTAATATAATTATATATATTTTGTTTTACTAGAAAAGAAATTAAACAGTTGCTGTCTGAATTAGATGAAGAAAAGAAGATCCGGCTACGATTGCAGGTACTTGTACATTACAGGTACACCTGTGGGCTGAAGCATCTTTTCTAGAGTTAAATTCTTATGGAAGATTAAATATCTATCATAGATTACAAGTCCAAATAAAAGTATTTCAAAGGAAATTTTGGTCCTACAGAGGTTGCATCTATTTTTAACATTGAATATGAAAGAAATCCATCTTAGAACTTAGTGAAACTTACTTAATATATTTTCCTATTCTTAGGATATTTTTAATATAGCCAAGAACTGCAATAAACTTTTTTGAGTATATTGAAAAAAGTAATGGTCTCATATTATTTGCAAAAAGTGACTTAGTGAAGATTCCATTTTTTCTGTTTATTATACTGTTTGAATTAAAACCTACAAAATACATCCTTCACTTACAATTTCTTCAGTCACGTTCATTAAATCCTTATTTTGTAGAATTCCATTGATTCAGTCAGTCTGGATAGCAGAGAGAAGGAAGCAAGAATTTCAAAAGAGCACAGCACTAAAAATTCAGAATCAACAGTTCTCAGATAGTGTCAGAAGTTGGGCTCATGACTCCTCTGTAATGGGTTCTGAGAATCCTTCTTTTAAACATTGCATTAGAACAGAAAGATCTCATCCTCTGAAATTTCCGTGTTATGCTACCTGTGCAGGCACATATGGGTTCTTCCTGTGTACAGGCCTACCACCTTTTCCCAGCATGATTAGGAAGGGGGAGAGCCCCCCTTCCCTCAGTTCTCTTTCTGCTGCTGCTGAGAGAGGCTCCATTTCATGAAACTTCTTTTGTTGAACTGTTCCAGTGTGTGTGTGGGGGGAATCACAGAATCTCAAAATCCCTCACATTGAACTAGTCAATACTTGAAGAAAAACCTTAGAAGAAAAAATCTTGGGAAAATATGGCGCAGAACACTCTTTTCAAGAAATGTACATTCCGCGGGGCAAAAAATTCATCACATCAGGGATCACTCTCTATGTCTACTGTGCCTGGGCAAGGAATATGACATTTCCAAGTGCCCTCTACATTGGCAATTTATGCCAAAGACATAATCGAGCCTAATGCCTAAAGGTAACTTTGTGGGAGACTCTGTGTGTTCTCTGGCACAGCTCCAGAAAATCACTGGAGCACTGTGTTGCTTCATACTCCAGAGAGAAGGAGCCAAGCATCACTGGTTCCGACATCAAATCTGGGCTCTTCAGTTCTATGGCCCAGCCTTCCACTCCAGCATCATCTGGATGATCAGCCTTAGAGCTGCCATCTAAAAAGGCTCAGCACATTCTGAAAAGTTGTCCAAGGCACCCTTAGCTCAGACTTCTTCCCATGTGATTCAGTTCCAGAGTGAATCCATGAAGTGGTGCTGATTCAAAAACCTCTCCTCATTCGGCCTGCACACCCGCAGAACCCACGTGTGACTGACCACTTGATGAACAACAGTTACAACTAAGTGAAACCCTGTCATTTTAAAATCTTGCTTTAAATAAGTAATGTTTTGTTGTGTTATGAACATTATGATTTTTCCGTGCAGAGTCTTGGGCTCATTTTTTTATTATTATTTTTGGAATGGGGGTAGGTTTGGCTTCAGATCCATGCTCATTTGTGGTCTTTTTCAGCATATTTCCATTTCCTGTTCTCTCTGCTGATCTATAAAAACTGGGGAAATAGTTATCTGCCTATTGTTGTGAAAAGACTGTGAAGGTTCATTTATTATAAATGTAAATGTAATGTTCTGCATTTAGGTAGGAAAAATCAAATGCATAATTATAGGATGGGGGGATACTTGTCTTGGCAGTAGTATGTGCGAAAAGGATCTAGGGGGCTTAGTAGACCATACACTGAACATGAGTTAGCACTGTGATGCACTAGCTAAAAAGGCAAATGTAATTTTGGGTTGTATTGACAGAAGTATAGGGTCCAGATCACACGAAGTGATGGTATCGCTTTACTCTGCTCTGGTTAGGCCTCACCTAGAGTATTGTGTTCAGTTCTGGGCACCACAATTTAACAAGGATATAGACATGCTGGAACGTGTCCAGAGGAGGGCAACAGTGATGATGAGGGGTCTGGAGACCAAGTCATATGAGGTTAGGTTGAAGGAGCTGGGTATGTTTAGTCTGGAGAGGAGACCACTGAGAGATGGTATGAGAACTATCTTCGAGTACTTGAAGGGCTGTCATATAGAGGATGGTGTGGAGTTGTTTTCTGTTACCCCAGAAGGCCGGACCAGAACCAGTGGGTTGGAATTAAATCAAAAGAGTTTTCAGCTAAACATTAGGAAGAACATCCTGACACAGTGTTTCCTCAGTGAAACAGGCTTCCTTGGGAGGTGGTGGGCTATCCTTTTTGGGGGGGTTTCAAACAGAGGCTAGATGGACATTTGGCAGCAATGCTGATTTTGTGAACTTAGACAGATCACAAGAAGGGAAGGCAGGAAGGGTTGCATCAGTGCTTAGTTCTTGTGGCCCTTTCTTACATGCCCAGGGAAATGCTGATTGCCACTTTGGGGTCAGTAAGCAATTGTTCTCCAGGCCAATTTGGCCACGGATCCTGGGGGGGGGGGTACCGTCTTCTGGGAATAGAGCAGGGGTCACTGGGGGTGGGGGGAGGTATTTGTGAATTCCCTGGACTAGATGACCCTGGAGATCCTTTCCAACTCTATGATGCTATGATTAAATGTGATGTATAAATAGAAGTCTGTATTGTTATAATTGAGATGCAACTGGCCACAAAGGAAAACTTGCATGGAGATGTGAAAACAGCTGTATTTCATAAGCTGCACCAAGGAAGAAACCCCATAGTCTTCTGTGACTAATGTATGGAGAAACAGAGACAAGTGGACTCCACTATCAAGAGGGTCAGATAAATCTAAGTTTTAGTATCTCCAGATGCTAGCCAGTGGGGCAAAATATTAGCGGATTGGGCAACAGCACTTTAGTGGGCTTTTAGAGAGACATCCCCCAAAGCTGGTTAACACAACTAGGGGAAGAGTTAAGACAGAATCGAAAAGAATCTCGCAGGGGGGGCGGGATCCTCCAAACCATGCATCCCCCCAGGCAACTCAGCTCTCTCAGCCAGTTGCTGTCTTGGAGCAAATGACTGAGAGGACGAGAGAGAGCAAGGAGCCCAGCAAAGGTTGTAAACACTCAATCCAATGTATTTATGCTCCGCTTTAAATCTATGACAAGACTCCCATTAAACAGTGAGCGAATGTGAGTTTTGAGCCATGAATTCTGAAGAAGACATTACCTAACATATTGGAACATATCCAACCACACCATTTGGAATACTGAATGGTACTTCAGTCTTAAGAAGAGGCAGCAGTGACTTCTGCCCATTCTCATCTTCTACTGCAGTCCACCACTCTGCCCCCGATGCCATTCCTGAGGTTCCACTGATCCCCCAGAACAAAACTTCGGGGGGCCTGAAGTAGAAGGGGAGAAGTAGGAGAGCTCGGCTCTGTCTAGTATGTTGATATGGTATCCGTACCATTATCTGTACCTATCATCTAGAACAGCCTAACATGTTTCCTCATAGGGGAATTCCTGTTTTGCAGTGGGGTGATGGCAGTATAGTGCTGCTTGTCTGAATTTTAGATCCCTTTTTAAACATTGAAGTGAAGCTGAAAATGCAACACACTGCTACATCTTTAAAGCATGCGTTAAGTATCAGGTGTTCCAAGTATTTTACAGAGTAGCTGAATTACTGAAAAGCATTTAATTTGGATGTTTTCTCACCCCTTTTACAGATGGAAGTTAATGATATAAAGAAAGCTCTTCAGTCAAAGTGAAAACCTGATTGGCAGAATGTTGTATTATTCATCCTGACACAGACTTGGATTTATGCCCCAGATAAAATAACTTTGTGCCAAATGATTCATTATCTGCCTCTACACATCCCTTTGTTTGAACAACTAGCACAAGAGTTTTGATAGCACAACACAAGTTCCAGTGAAGAGGGGAAATTTCCATGAGATACAGCTGGTTGGTTATGGCACTGGGTTTTGATTGAAATTGTTCTTACTGTGCTGAAATCTTCTCTACTTTAAGTTCACAAACAAACTGAAAACTCAGGCAGTTTAGTTTATAGTGGTACTATTTTAATGATATTTTCCATAAGTAATATGTACTTCAGGTTTATCGGTTTACAAGTTTTATGATTTTGATTTTTTAAATTGTCTTTTGTCACAAATTCTTACAATGTTTGTACTGCATATATCTAGAAATGAATGTTGACATTGGGGTGAGGGGGCATTTTGTTTGTTTTTTGCGTGCTCTCTCTTTCTTTGCTTTACATATGGCAGCCTAATTTTGTGTTGTTATTTTAAATACTATTACATATGCAATCTTATGTCCAAAAATGATCTACAATTGAATCTTAAGTTTGTGTACAAAATAGTGTATTTAAAAAGGAGAAAAAATGAAGAGATATCTGGTCTTAACAATGATTTGTGCCTTCTTTTGCCAAACACTGATTGAAGCTGGTTGTAGGCCAGATTGTAGTAATGTAGCTATCACAATGAGGCCTGACAGTCCACTAGAGGTCACTCTTTCTATATATTAGTTGTTTGTTCAATACGGAGAGACAGATGTTCTTTACTAAGGTGGTGTAATGGCTACATCGGGTTGAAGGAGCTTTATTTCAACAGCTATAGCTTTTTTAATCAACTGATTCACCTCTGCTTGATTTCATTCAAACACGTAAGCACCTGCTTTCATCTTCAGCTTTGCACATCCTGGATGAACGGAATATGCATAATCTAAGAGTAAAAAACGAATAAAATATAAATCAACAAGAGAGAGTTGTATTATTTCACACACAGAATGTTGTGCAATATTAGCTTTCTGTTTAATGTCAATTGCCACATTCTACGGTGAGCTTGCTGATGACTGGAAATGGATGGTTTTATTCTAATAGCATCCTTGCAGCTGGGCTTTCTTGCCTTTAGAATTACATTAAAGAAATGTTTACTTTTGGTATTTGTAGGCAGAGAGGTTTTCATATTTTTATGGTAACAGACTGTGTATGAGAGATTTTGTGTGTCTCTGTGTGTGTGTGTGTACGCATGAGCAATATGAAAGCAGTTCATGACAAAAACTGTAGTTGGGTTTCCTATTTTCATAACAGATTTCATTAGGCCTCCTAGGCCAGTATATGTGATGCTGAACCATCCATTTTCTGCTGTGAAATGTTGACAATACAGTGGTGTTTTTGCACAGCTCTACAGTCTGAGCTATTACGTTTACATTAAATATCACACAGTGGATCTGTTTACCATGCCAAGAGTGGCTGGTTACCATCTCTCTACAAATTTGAGAATTGAAGGTTATTTCCTTTAATTCCATCTCCAGTTGGTTGAAAGAGCTGCAAACTTGATAACAGTAAGATAATTTATAAATACCTGCATAAAAGATAAAACATTAAGTACTTGAAATTGAGTTTTCAATCAGAATCTTTGTGTATATTTCTCACTTGTTAAAATGAAGCTCTACTTAAACATTTGTCACTGTGATACCTCTAAGATTTTAAATCAACATCACTTTTGAGCATGAAAGGTACTTCATGAAATTGACTCCTTAATCTTTGCAACATCTGTGTGAGGTAGATAGATCAGTATTATTTTTTATCTTACAAAAAAATCTTGAATGCCCAATACTAAACTTTACAAATACTTAGGACAGTGTTAATATATGATGATCTGGTTTTGCAATAACAGTATGAAGATTTCGCAGGGAAATATGATGGCTCAAGCATTTAGGATTGGAGCCAAAATGGAGGCTTTGGATGTGTACCTAAGATGCCAAAGGTCAGAGGGTTTTGGCATGTGACCTTGGCTGCTGTAAACTGGCATGCTACTTTGAATAATGTCACTGAAAATAAACTCTTTTAACAAGCACTTGTGTGAATAGCAGGGGTTGCCATGCATTCCAAACGGCAGACATCTTTGCAGAAAGAGAATATGCAAAGTTGTCAATAGAGAGAGCATTTCCAAGCCACTTTCAGAAGACTCTTTTGTATGTTACTGGGGCAGCATAGCTCAAGTAACATCTATAGGGAGAAACTGCATGTCAGGCAAATGTATATGGTCCATGCCAGCATTGGTCTTTTCTGGGAGACACTGTTGCAGATGCAGGAACCAACACATCATCTGCCTGGCTGCTGTGGTCTCTGTATATAGACATGACCTGACGATTTGGAAGTGGTCCCCATGACACAACTGCAGTGCATTAATGGAGCATGAATCTGTGGTTGAAATAGACTCTGGACCAGTGTTTATTACTGAATCTTTCTAATTCTCTTACAGTTTTCTAGCAATAAAGGTTTATAGCTACTAACTTCAGAATTTGGAGAATTCGACAAGTGGACAGGTAGTACGTACATATTGGGAACTTGGAACTGGAGGACAGCATTGTGGATTTCTGATTTCATTCACTGGAAAAACTGAATGAGTATAGTATGAATTCTTAGACAAGGCCTTGAAATGTAAGACATGGTTCTAAAATGTTATTTTAAAAAAACTGATTAGTGTTAATTGACCTGAAATCAGAGTCTCTAATCTTTTCCCTCTTGTTAAGATGGTAAATTGTCATTTTATAAAACTTGTATTGAGGAGTCCAACGTAATGTGATTTGTAATATAAGATTAAATGAGATTTTGTGGAAATATTTTGTTCTCGGTTTCATTGTTCCTATTTTCACAATGGATTACATTTACACAGAGCAGAAAGCGTTTTACAAAGAACTTACATTTTCTACACTGAAAAAAGAATATTAATGTCACACACCTGAAGTTATAACTCGGTTATTTTGGAATATTTTTTTCTAGTCAAAGGAAAAGAGAAACGTTTCATTATAAATTCTCATCTTGAAAGCAATTCAACATTGCTTTGTTTGAGTTGTAGAGTTTAACAGGCATAGAGAAACTACCAATTTGCATTACCTAGGGTTACCAGATGGCCTCTTTTTTAGAGTATATGTCCTCTTTTTTGGTGTCTGTGCTCTTTTTGGCTCTTTAAAAATTGATGAAAATGTCCTCTTTTTGGGTTGGAAGGTTAGGAATATTCCTAGTTAGTAGCAATTATCACAGTTTAAGAAGAGAAGAAGAAGAGATTGGATTTATACCCTGCCCTTCACTACCCAAAGGTGTCTCAGAGCGGCTTACAAACTCCTTTCCCTTCCCCTCCGCTCCCCACCCCACAACAGACACCCTGTGAGGTAGGTGAGGCTGAGAACAGCTCTTATCAGAACTACGGCTTGCCCAAGGCCATCCAGCCAGGTGCAAGTGGAGGAGTGGGGAATCAAACCTGGTTCTCCCAGATTACAGTCCGCGCACTTAACCACTACACCAAACTGGCTCTTAAATAGTAGGGGTATTAAAAAAGGTTTGTCATACTGATCACTCATTTGAAGTAGTCAATCAGGAAATATGTCCTCTTTTTGGTTTTCAGAATACGGTAACCCTACATTACCTGCATTTTATTTTGCATTCAAATCAAGCTGCATCTTCAAACATAAGACGGGGGTCATTGTGAATTGTTTATTTGCCTGTATTATTGAATATTTGTTTTCGTTGTACAGTTTTGCCATTTCTGCTTGTACAATCCAAAGAAAATGTCTGTCATTATACCTTTAGATCTAGCAGGGTTTTATTTCTGTATTCTGTATAGAAAGTCCTCAAAATAAGACCTTGAATTATTGCAGCTCCTTGTATAATTACTGCAGTGTTTTAGGCATTTTCATGCTTGCTAGCCATGGCCACAAGGGTGACCTTGGAAAACGGCATTGCCTTCTGAGGAGGAGAGAGATGAAAAATGTCAGGTAAATAGAGGGCAACAAAATGCTGCCCATTCTTTCCTTCCTAATGATGTTACAGTCTGCATTTACCCCACTCCAGGGAACACTTGTAGGGATCAGCTGCCTGCCCCCATTACAAAGCATCTTAGTCCTTTTTCTAACTTCTCTTTGATAACCTTAGCTATGTTTACAGTTGCCTTTTCTGTCATACAGAAAGAAGAAAATGGTTCTGAACTTTTGATATTGCTCTATACGTCTTGCTCCTCATGCAACATATGCCCAGCACTGTCCTTTTCGATTCCCTCTGTCAGCATAGCTTTGCCAGTGCTGTGGTTATACCAGCCTAGTGTCACACCAGTGATTTAGTTGGTATCCCATATCAGTGCTTTTCTGTAGTGAGCTACGTGTGAGATGTCAGTGCCTTCTGGCATGTATGTTGTGCCTTGTTGCTTGCCCTAGTGCCACTGTTCACCTTGCCTTTTAAATAAAAGTTCCTTCTAGGGGCATTATTCCCCCAATCAGGACAGGGATCTTGGCCATGGATTTGTCCAGGTGAGATTGGATAATATACTTAGGCTGCTCATGTTTCCTTCTCTGTGTCTCTGCCTGTCAAAAGGCTAGTTGTTTGCAGCCCCCATTTATAGTTATCCTGGAAGTCTGGTAAGAGAGTGTTTCTCCATGTCATGCCTGCCCCTGATCCGGCACCTGGGAGCTCTGAAACGGAGGACTCCGTGCCTTTAACATCATCAGAGGCACGAGAGTCCTTGCCAAACCTAAGTGCCGGAGAGGATGAATACCAAACCCCTGGACAGTTGGCACCTGAAGCCGATCAGGCAGTGCCTGGCCCCAGCAGTACGGCACCCGATTCTCCGCCACCTGTCGACCGGCTGAGGAATCAGAGACGCTGGGACTTGGCAACCAGACGCAAGGAGGCACGCTTGCGTGGTCGGAGAACAATGAGCCTGGAGTTCTAGCAGAATCAAGGACTTCGCAAGGCAGTCCTAATGAGTTAACGGCCCAGCACGCTATTTGAACAGGTCACTGACTGATGGCAAATCGTGCTAGCAAACTAGTCCTTCGGACCAGAAGCTTTGCACCTCGGATGCTGTTCCTGAGATCCCATACTGACTGACTTCCCAGTTCCTGAATCCAGTCCACGTTTTGACGACTCTCTGGCTCTTGATCCTCGGCTCTGCACCCAGACATTCGACACTCGCTTCTCTGGACTCTGACCCTTGGTAACGTTCTGACTACGGCTTGGCTTTGTGTATTGGGACGCTGGCTCTGCTTGTTTTTGATCTTTCTGGCTTTGACTCACGGACTGAACTGTAAACTCTCCCTCTCTGCCCGGCCCCCTGGCTCTGTCGCGACACTCCATACAGTTAATGGTGCACTGTTGCCTTTTTCTTTTATTGTTGTGGGGCTGGGTGTGATGACATCACAGAGGAATACAAGCATAATCGTATGTGTATTTGCTCCTTCTCCAGTGGAAAAAGGTATATTGAAATGGGTTACTCCCCCTACTTGCTATGCAGGCAGGACTATGCAAATGTTTTTGCAAATCCCCCCCCCAGGCAATCAATGGTTCCCAAGCCAACCAAGCTAATGAAGGAGAGAAGAATCAGTTCCACCAAGGATACCATCATAGGCAGGCACCTCCAAGCCCTGCTCCAGCCTGGAGACTGTCCCAGTCCTGCTGACTTAATGATCCTAGCACAATTACTAGGACTTGTAGTTTCTAGGATCAACATAGTACCATACACCAGGGAGTATTCCGGCCTGCTGCAGTGTCTACTTTTTCCTTACCAGAAAAGCATCCTGTAGCACAGCCATGATCAAATCCCTTTCCAAAAGAGGGTACATACCACCTTTCTGTGGTGAACACAAAGGGACATCCTCACAAAAGGAACTTCTTTCCCGGGTATCCCCTGGTTGGAAACAACTACAAAGATCAGCCTGTAGGGTTGGAGATTCTATTGTCAGCAACAAATGGCTCAAGGCAACTGGAACAACACTGACACAGCAAAAGATGGTTGGAGTTTAGATCCATACCTGGACTTTTGGCCCCAGATAAAGGGAGCTCATTAGCTACTGTTCTATGATAACATGACAGCCAAGGCCCACATCAATTGTGGAGGAACCAGATTCACTTCCTGAAGAAAAAGTTATTCCTCCAATGGGCAGAAACCTACACAGCCTCCTACAAACCCATCTCCAAGGTACCTGCAATTTAACAGGTGATGGACTAAGCTGCCAAGACAT